ACCAAAAACTCCGGAGAAGAGAATCCGTTATGATGATTTTGATAACAACAACGAAAATCTTCCATCAGATATTTTAGCAAATGCCCAAAAGGCCAAAAATCAGACGATACCAACAACTTCTATAGAAAAATATAACGTTTTGTATCATATTTTTTTATAATTATAACTTTCTTTTTTTTGCGAATTATTAATGATTTTTAAAAATTGTATTTTGTAATTATTATAATTAATTTTTTTCAATTAAAAATACTTTACGTTTTTTGAACTACATATTTAATGAATATAATTAATTTTTTCTTCAGAAGTTCCGCATAATTTTTAAATCACACTTTTTTATAATTATTTTTTTAAATAAATGTGATCTTTTTTCTTCAGTGGGGGGGGGTGGGGGGGGTTCGCCCCCCCCCACCAGGGGCTTCGCCCCCTGGACCCCTTTTCTCGTGGGGGGCTTCGCCCCGAAACATGGTCCAATTATTCATCATCTCTAACTTTTCACATTTCGAAAAGATACTATTCCGAAATGCACCAACTCTGAATTTTGCATGCTCAGTGACTTTTTAGTTCCTAGGTTTACCATACACCAACTAATACAGTTTCGGATGACCGTACGCAAGCCCTCTAAGGCGCTCGGGCACTCACACAACACAACCCAATTTTGAGCTTCTGTATGCGGGTATTCGCGACCGCAACGTAGATGTGGGAGCCACCAAGTGGTCTCTAAACTAACTACTCTTGGGCGGCAACCAATGAGATATTCGCGCCGTACTTGAGGGGTTAATGATAAAAAACTCAAGAATTAAAAATTAAAAACCTTTGAAAAAAATTTGTTTCATCATTCGCGTAGAAAATCAGAATCTCATATCTTTCCCAAAATTCCCAAAAAAAATCAAAAACCCAAAATTCCCAAAAACCCAAATTTGTATACTATTGATACCAAAGGTATAAATGATGTACGAATTTGGATTTTGCAGAATAATCATCGTTCGATAAAAAAATTAGTATTTAGTTGGTACTCCGATGGCAAGTTCCATTTCCTCTCATGAAGAGAGGAATAGAAACAGCAGATGGCAGTACGCATGCGACTGAACAGTATACCAAGAAAAAGTTTTGTTTGGTACTTACTGGGAAGTAGAATTTTTTGACAATTACAAAGAAATGACAGAGAAACCCAAGTCAGGAATGTCGAATGAATGGTCTTATTAGTGGACAGACAGATTTCTATAAGAAAAATAGTTTCAAATCGAGTAAGGATTAAACAAAAATTCTCTACGAAATGAAAAATTAGTAGAAGGATCATCGTCCTTGGCTCGGATCAGAAGATGGAGGATTAAGTCGAGATACGCGGTAGCGTATCGGCCAAGAAAGGTTTTAATTCCGACTGTACAAAACATCTGGCCGAGTGCACCGCGTATCTATATACAACAGAACTTCCCCCTCCACTACCTCTAAATGATCGACATTCGGTATAGTAAAAACGAGACGACAAATCGGAAAATTGTCCGTAGTTACATTATATAAAACGCCTATGCGCGTTTCAACGGTGTAATTATTGTATTTTTTGGGTTAACAGTAAAAAAGATACGCGCATAGCAACGGGCTGATATTCACATTCTGGCGATTCATATTATAAAATCATCATTGTTGAACCCATATAGAACCGGAGAAATAAGATATTTTTATCAGGCAAAAAAATGTATTTGCAGCAAGAGAATGAGCGTTACAAAAATCCTGAAAAAAATCTGGAATACTTTTTTCGAATCACAGAAGACCTTGAAAAATTGGGAAGACATTCCGAGAGAGCATGACAAATGACTCTCTGGTTTGACAGAGAGTGCTCCATATAAAGAAGGACTTGTCAGGACCGAAAAGAACGGTTCTTTTTCCCCGAATTGAGGATTCTAAAGGTCTCTAGAAAAGTACGTCGCAGGACTGATTAGGTCTTACGTTATGGCCAAGCTTGAACTGAGGTTCGGCCATGCCTGGGGACCAGGGCTTGGCACTCGGGGGAAGGACGGGTAATCGAGCCTGAGTAACCTGGGTAACTGAGCCTGATCCCAGCTCATTCATCACAAAACTCCTAGAAAAGAAAACAAATAGAAATTTCATTAATCAAAATTCAAGAAAAATTCACTCAAACATGACATACTCACAAGTGCAATAAAGTAAACAAACAATCACAAAACAATTCCAATTGAAAGCCAAACAGATCCTTCTGTAAACAAGGTACAATTTCAAGGGTGAACATTGCGGGCTACCCCACGCAAATAATCAAGAATGTCACGATCCTCATTCCAATCGATCACTACAGCGAAAAGACGAGCATCATAATCCACTTATCTTTTTCTTTTTTGTCGTATTACCGATCAATTCGGGGAAAAAGAACCGCACATAGATAGATGTAATCAGAATATAGAAATTCAACTGACATGGGAATGACAGCATCCTTAGAACAGACAACTAACATACATATGTAGTAATTCAGCCGTTTATTATATAATAAATGATGCTGTAATGAATTGTCCAAGTAATGAATAATACTGTAATAAATTCTCCAGATAATAAATTGCACTGCAATAAATTGTCCCTGTGATGAATATTAGTAATCAATTGTGCTGTAATAACACAGTACCGTAATAAATAGAGACAATATCGCCGGAGCTCGATAACCAAGCCCCAGCCAGCGGTGGCCCAGAGCTTGGTCATTGGGCTCCAGCCGTGGCTGTAATTGTAAGGGTTAAGTCGGAAGGGTAAGATGATAAGAATAGAATCATAGGAGTGAAATCATAAGGGTAATATCTGAAGAGTAAGATTTTAAGGGTGTAATCGTAAAAAAATGATGGCATTGTAGGTATTGAAGTCACATGTTATTTGCTAATTATCACGAAAAAAAGAAGAATCGTCATTCAAAATTAATTATTATTATTATAATTATTATTATAATTAATAGTTATTATTATTGTTATTCATTACTGAATTAATTTACCTATTAAACTATAGTTGAATCACTTAACATCTCTATCAACTAAATAATAAAACATTCAAGTCGAAAAAAACCGAGGTGGAATTAACATGGACGATTTGAATGAGAGATTTTACGAATTGCGGGGTAGGCTAGTGGTTAGGGCGTCGGATTAGTAGTCGTGAGGTCGTGGGTTCGAGCCCACCTCAGGAAAATATTTTAAGTTAACAAAATCGGGTTTTCAGCGATGATTGCGTTAGGGTTTGGTAGGTAGGGCACAATTAATACTAAAAATCATCGTAAAAAAAGTTAATTATCTTGTTTTTGATTTTTAGATGATTGTCATGAACAGTTTGGCAGCCAGCCTGGCGCCAATCACATGCTGGTATTGATTTTTTTTCCTCTTTGAACCTGTTACGAATGCTCAGGAGGAAGACTGAATTACTCGTATTTCAATCACTGATATGATATTCATGTAATTAAGAAATGTTTAATTGAGCTTGGCTAACGACTGACTACCAATGCTGGGCCGAGATCGGCGCCCAGCTCCGGCCCCACGTTATCATCCCAGGTTTCAACCAAGTCCGGTGCGGTTCAGGCTGAGAAACGGACCCCGAAGTTCGGCAGCCCGGCCGTTGGGCTTGGACCGAGCTCGGCCCGTTCGTTTTTTCCTACCTGGGTCCTGGACCTCCTCTCGATTGAATATTCCAGAACTCGATGGAAATTTTCACACTGAAAAAATCAAACAATTACTTTCTAAACATATATATTTATATTTTTGTGTAACTTCTCTTTTAACAGAATAAGTTTGAATGGTAAAAAAAATTGAAAGGGGGTCCGCAAATTACCGTTGAACCTTATAGGAAATGGAGGATTGCAAAATTTTCAGTCCAAGTTTTCTCAGAAACTTTTGAATCGAGGCTCATTTGTGGACGTCCGCATGAAAAGAGACCACTTTGGCACTATTGGAGTTATATATATGCCGATAATCTTGATCCGATTCCGCAAATTTAGAGCCAAAAATGAACTTGATAGCGTAAAGAGTGACGACGCTATAGACGATCGAAAAAATAATTTAACATGGGTTTAAATGGTAGTTGGCAAGAGAAAAACGTGAATATCTCGGCAAATAGAATGGACAAAGTGGTCCCTTTTCATGCGGACGTCCACATTTAATGAGTTATTACTTAATGAACTTGGCTAATGATCGTAGTGCTGGGCTGCCTTTATAGTATTTTCAGGCACTGAGGGACCAATTTTCTAAAAACTTCATCGACATCGCGGGACAATCGGTAATTTTGATTGTCTATCGTGATAATCAAAATTATTTTTATCTTGATTCCATAACACAGAATGAGTCACGACAAGAGGGGAAGATGCGAATTGGTTCGCCTATTTGGGTGAACCAAATTAACTCGAAGGAGGCAGATATCCCCTTTGGAGGAATCCTCCCTCTCCATTTCTATACCAGTTTCTACTCTATTGCAAGTCTGGCTACTGCCGTTATCATTTTACAGCTGTATTAATTGATGACTCGTTAATAAAGTCCTAGAGCCGAAAGTTACACAGGAACATTTGAGTTAGGATTTCACCATCTTTTATTTTTATATAGGTCTCATGCGAATTTTGTTACAGCCTGTGTTAAAACTGAGTATTGAAATTCAAGGAAGTGTAGGGAAGTTAATGAATCCAAAGGAACTTGAATCATACTCGAGAATTACGAGTCTCGTCTAGGAAGTGAAACAGGAAAATAAAGTCAGGGGAGCACACCGAGCGACCAATAATATTGGTGTTATCGGCGAACCTTACATGGAAGTGATTGACCAACAACGCCCTACTTAAGTCCTTTTCTTTAATAGAAAAATAGTTATTTTCTGCTTTTGACCCATTGAACAGGATAAGTCTCAAATAGTCTCAGTACGTAGACGGTTACGATCGTAAGAAAGACCTCATTGCCAACGCATCACTTCTGAAGGTTCTGCCATTTCAGATTCTTTGATTCATAGAAAATATATTAATATAGTACTTTATTTATTCGCAGGTGATCAATCAATATGTATACGAATTACTAGAGAAAGAAGGATTGAAACGACTACCAGTTCCAAAAGACTCCGACGCACCCCTGGAATTGCGATCATTTATATTTGCGGATGATGAAGCTTTTACAAATAAAAAATTGATGATTTTGATACATGGGAGTGGTGTTGTGAGAGCAGGACAATGGGCCAGACGATTAATTATCAACGATAATCTCAATTCTGGAACGCAAATCTCTTATATACGAAAAGCAAAACAGTTAGGATATGGAATCTTAGTTTTAAACACAAATGATAACCATAGGATAATTAACGGGCACTCGGAAGAAATCAAAGTAAGTGTATTTTTCAAATATAGCAACCTTATGATTCCAATTTTTGCAACTATTAATTTGCGGAGTGAAACAATATGACTATTTTTCATAGATAACAAAAATATTCCCGATTACAAGAATACCTTTTTGAATATTCTTAAATCGGGAGTATTTATTTCTACATGAGAAAAAAAATATTCTCAATTCTCGATATCCTGGATTGCAAATTATTGAGCCAAGTGTAAGTGTTGGTTAAATAAATTTTCTTTCGTCATGTGGTTTCAAAATGGATTTGCAGATCGGTTTGAAATTCTGTTCAAAAAGAAAGAGTATAGAGAAATTCATTAAACGAATTCCATACAAACAATTGCATGGCTTAAAAAAAAAGTGCTGATATTCTTCCCTAAAGTTACAAGCTTAGAGATACTTGTAGCATAATTTGTATTAATCTCTGCCCGTTATCGAGGCATTCATATCTTTTCAGGGTTCAGCAGATCCCCATGAACACATGAAAACTGTCTGGGATGATTATGTTCGACCATCATTACCAAAAGATATTGCAATTGTTGCTCACAGGTATGGAGGCGTTTGTACAGTAAAGTTTGTGGGTATCAAAAATTTAATACATTAATACAGAAATCCCGATTTTTTCGCAATGTATTTCCGTTTTCCAGGCTAAAGAAAACCCGGAAGAATTTGGAAAACATGTGTTCGCAGTCGGATTCACAGATTCCGTTCACGCGATACCCGGCAAAGAATGCAGTCCCATAGTACAGGTATATTCATCTACGTACAATTTAAATTTCACTTGAGAACTTTTCTCTCTGAAAATAAAGAATCGCAGTTGGGCTTAAGCTCTTTCATACCTCCGGTAAATGGGGCGTGTGATTGACTACGTGAGAAGTGATCACCAGACTTTTTTCGGAGACTGAGAGTTCGTTGATATCTCCCATCTGTGACTATTGTTTCTTGACAATAGCACCACACGTCTCTGCCGTTATTAGCCTTCTACTATTAGTTATCTATGAGTAGGTTTACAGTAGTTGAACGTTTTTGTTTGCCATCGACATCGGTCCAAATGCATATGTTGTTTCTCTGGTATTTTTTTCGACATAACAGTCAAAATTTCAAGACAATGGAATTCTAGAAAGAAAAACGAAATGATAATTGTACTTTTCATCATATCTCAACGTTTCAAGCTAGCCCCCATCGTTCTGGACCATTTTCTCCCTTTCATTTTTTTTCATGCTATAGTACTATTATTAATTGAAATATTATCAGAATTTTTGCATCATACTTCATTTGTCTTCTGTTGCTTCGGAATGGAAGTTTCGTAATTACTCAAATTGAGTTTTCGATTTTTTAGGATCGATCCACTCATTTTGATCCAAAAAATCTGAAAATGCCATTTTTAGGACCTGGTGGTATGTGTGCATGTGACAAAGTTTTCCTTGGATTGTTCCCTAATGAATCGATAGAATTTGATCATTTTTTCTTCAAATGTAGGTATTATTGAGCCTCATCCATCGACATGCCTTAAAAAATGCTAAAAAATGCTGTGATTTTAGGTAAAGATAACGTGACAGTTCCGTAAAATTTCCTACAACCACATTGTGCTACGGAATTACGGAAAAGATACGTAATTTTTATTGAATATTTCTCTCCGTGTGATAAATAGAAACATTTTGGTTAACTTTGTGTTCAATCGACAGCATAATATCATTGATAATACTCAATTTCGAAGTGCGGAAATAACAGTCTTATACGAACATGATTTTTTCGAGGTTAGGAAAAAAATTGAAATACCTTGAAATGACCTATTGTGTGAAAGTGGTAGCGTTGCGTTGGTTGAATTCATGACTATTCCATGAAGAGGGAAATATTTTCAAATGTACGGGGTTGCTATGGATCGAAACACTCTAGTCAAACGAAAGACTATTCTTTAAGGCCCGCTTGGATGGATTTTTGCCCGAGATGTCCCTAGAAAATTCCCCAGAAAATTATCAAACGAAAGCATTTTACGACGTCACTAATTACGACCGTATGGTTACACTAAAAAATCTGATTTTTATTTGAAAACACAGATGATTTATTCCCCCGTAACGGTAATTGTGTCTTGAATGGGGGAAATAGGTTTTTATATTTTTAATATTGACTAGAAAATAACACAAAGTAAACACCACCATCTCCCCTAGTCACACCACACTCGCGTGGCACCCTGTCAATATGGCGACGGTAAATATCCAAAATAATAAACATTTATTCCAATTTTCACACACACCAGACACTCTCGAGAATCAATTACCGTTACGTGAACTATTTTTGACTATTTTTCGCGAGTTGTTCCGAAGGGATTAGACGGCACTAACTTCCATAATCCGTGACGGCGTGATTGAGGCGATCAGCTGTCGCCATACTGTCTCTCTCAGTTATACTGAAAAGTGCCAGATGGCGCCACTGAAACTCCCGAATCTCGGCGTACGGAAATGAGAATTGTCGGGCGGATAGCTCAGGAGTGTAACGCAATGAGGGCCCACGGGTACCAAGCATTCGTGCATTTCACTCCCACTCGTGGAAATGGAGCAATACTCCGTATTCCACCATCCTACAACCGCCATAATAATAATAATAATAAAAAGAATAATCAGCAGGGTCAGGGTAATAATAGCCAGCAGGGTCTCTCCGTCCAGCTGACATTCGCCTTCTTGAAGTCAGCTAGCTTGATGTCCGAAACTGAGGGTTTCATCTGCGCATGTCAGGATGGCGTGATAAACACTCTTGTCTATCGAAGTCGTGTTATGGGGGTGCACGTTCCAGATACTCGATGTCGGATTTGCAAGCAATCCCCGAAAACTCTGATGCATCTTTTGTCGGCTTGTCCGACTTATGCAATCACGAGTTATATCCACCGTCATAATGCGGCTTTGAGAATGCTGTATTATCATTTGCGGCACTCTTATGGGATAGACAGGACGCCGCTGCTGCCTTTTACAAAGTCTGATAGTGGATTGCTTTGGTCTTCAAAATGGTTGAAGGTTATTGGTAATTGAACTTACAGTTGATGATGGTTTTAGTAGTAATCCTTATATTTCTAGTTGTGGATCCTTCAATGGCACAAAGGTTTTTCTCCACCAGAATTAGAGTTTTCTCTGATTCTATTATGAATACTTCCTATTGGATCACTTTCACCCACTCGTGTACAATTTAACAAAGTTCGGAAAAGTGTTTTTAAGTGAGAATGTCCACAATCACGGTAAACTGTCTAATTTTGTTCTCTTACAATGCAAGAAACACTACTACTCTTGATTTAAGGATCCAGTATCCCTGCGCAACTTTCTTTCACTCAGCTATGAACTATGTTCGATAATTACCACTCCCGATAACCGTTTTCCAGGCGAGTTATGAGTAGCGGGGACCGAAAGAGACAGATCGATTCCGTAAGTAATTTCCACCAAGTCAAAATTAACGCTCCGACGATTGCTTCTAGACTGGCTTTGATTTTAATTTTTGGGGAGTGAGTCGGTTCTTGATCGATACACGATTTTGCTTTTGATTGGTGGAAATTATGGCGTGATTTTCCCACTTTTTATTCTTGTAGGGAATTGACCTGTTGGGTCAGCGGTTTTAGGCGCGTTGGATTTCGCACTGGCGATTCTTCACCTGCGGGGTATTACTCTGTTGAAATAGTGAGTCCACTAGCCTTATGTTGAAATATGTTATTTGTTGATGCTGCACTTTTCGGGTTCTCGGTTGACGATGTGGCATTGGATAGGGAGAATAATCGGGAAATTGTGAAGGAAAGCTATTTCATAGATTTTTGGACATTACAGCATGAAGAACCATGCCGCTCCAGGTCCAGATGGCATCAACGCCTTTTGGTGGAAGAGGTTTATCTCGGTTCGTAGCCATCTGGCTCGGATTTTCACATCGTTCATCGATGGTAGCGTGATGCTTCCTGAGTGGTTGGAAGAAGGGAGACTTGTCTGACCCGGCAAATTATCGGCCGATCACCTGCCTGAATACGCTCTATAAGCTCTTCACAGGAGTCTTGAATGAGCGTATCTTGCACGATGTACAACCCATGTGGCGACAGATTTATGAACAGCGGGGGGCGAAGCGGTCGCTGTCAGGGTGCAAGGAGAGTTTACTCCTCGATCGCTGCATATTGCGCGATTCGATACAGTATCATCGGCACCTGTCAGTGGCCTGGGTCGACTATCGTAAGGCATTTGATAGCACGAGCGATGAGCTCATTTTTCTGCTACTCGAGTGCCTTGCGGAAGAGGAAAATATCGTGAGGTGCATTAGAGATCTTGCACTACTTTGGAGGACGCGCTTCACCATAACATCTGGTGAGGGTCGGCTTACTTCAGGGTTGGTGCAATTCAGGAGAGGAGTTTTTCAGGGCGATACCTTGAGTCCTCTCTTGTTCTGCATCTCACTGATGCCCCTATCTGTCGCCTTGCGCGATGTTGGTGGATACCAAGCCGGAAGACTTATTCTATATTCTATATGGATGACCTGAAGTTATTTGCCTCAGGAGAGCGGCAACTCAAACTCCAGCTTGATGTTGTTGCAGTGTACTCACGCGCGGTCGGGATGAGCTTTTGGTTGGACAAATGCGCAGNGGATAGACCGGACGCCGATTCTGCCTTATGCTCCAGGAGATATTGAGTCCGTTGTCGTGAATGAGAGGTGTAAGATTTACTGGAACTTCTCGTTTGCGACTATCAGGCCCGTCGCTGCGACGAAGCCTGATATCGTCCTCTTCGACTTTGAGGACAAAGTCATCTACGTGATTGAGTTCTCGGTGCCAGCCGAGAGCAATATATCTGCGAAGGAAGATGAGAAACGGTTCAAATACCAGCTGCTCCTGTTTGAGCTGCGTCAGTTGAACCGCGGGTTTAGGGTCAGGCTGATCGTCCTGATCATTGGCTCTCTTGGCGGCATGAAACAGTCTTTTGTATCTGCGCTTGAGGTGATTCCAGCCTGCAGGCGCAATGCCTTAATACTGGCTGGGCAGATGCAAAAGGCTGTCATTCTTGGGTCCCTTCGACTACTTAGACATCATGATTCTGGACTGCAGTAGTGCTCATCCTCTGGTTGGAGGGAGCACTACTGCAGAGCGATTAGGACTTGTTTGTATCGCTTAGCTTGCCGGGTGGTCTTCGAGGTGAAGTCGGAGTCCTCGAGGATCATCCAGTGATCTCATTCACGAGAAAAAAAAATAATAATCATAATAGTAATAACAATAATAAGCCGTAGGGAGTGTGGCGAACGGTAACACGCGAAAACATCACTGCGACAAAATATCCGCCCGACAAATTCCCCGGCAAAATATCCAGATAAAAAATCCCCGCCGTCCGAATATTTTTTTGGAAATAAATCCTCCGTCATAATATCTTCAAATAAAATACTTCATGAAATAAAATCCTCATGGAATTTTTCGGCCTGCAATCCTACCAATACACGTTGAAAGTTATAATGAAACAACAGATCCATTGGAATATTTGCAAGGTTTAGNTGAGGGTCGGCTTACTTCAGGGTTGGTGCAATTCAGGAGAGGAGTTTTTCAGGGCGATACCTTGAGTCCTCTCTTGTTCTGCATCTCACTGATGCCCCTATCTGTCGCCTTGCGCGATGTTGGTGGATACCAAGCCGGAAGACTTATTCNGGAAATTGGGAATTGTTATTGCATTTTTGTTTATTTTGGTGGTGAATTTTCAATTTATTTTCATGGAGTTCAATGTGTGTAATTATTTGATTGTAAATTACG